TACTGTTCAAATGTTTTGGCCAAGGTTAAAGTTTTTTTCATAAGTATGGAAATCTCCAAGGTCAAAAGGTCAAAGTTGTTGGAATCATATAGAAGGTCTTGCCACAAAGAATACATATGTGAACTATGAAAGTTCTAGTGTCTACTGTTCAAAAGTTATGACCAAGTTATGACCAAGTAAAAGTTTGGAATTTTTGTGTAAAAGTGGGTCAAACTCCAAGTAAAGGTCAAATTTGGTGGTAACCAAAGAAAGGTCTTGTGACATGGAATACACATGTGAGATATAAAAGTCATAGCTGCACTATATCAAAAGTTATGGGCAAGGTTCAAGTTTTTGTGACGGACGGACGGACGAATGAGATTTAATGTTTTGCGAAAGGGAAGGGGGGGGGGGGGGACAAAATATAACAGAGCAAGTGAATTGACTCAAAAACGAGACCCTCAGAAAAAGATAATTAATTAAGATGTTCAGTCATATATGCTGATAGGATAAAGGCAGGATAAGCCTTTTCTTTTTATCTAAGACGGTGTTCGGGATTTTATATGTGGAAAAATTCACAAAGAAAAGGAGCGAAATTGCTGATGCATGAAATTAAATATGGGAAATATCAAACAGGGATCAAGCTCAGAAGATCATTAAAACAATGTAAATTTGGGATGGGCAAACACGTATCTTATAAATTAATAAATTATCGAGGTGGGATCACGAGCCATGTGGTAGAGAGCACCCCGTTTCGACCGATCACACTTGCTGCGTGCTCCTTGCCATAGAGTTTAAATAATGTCCCAACAGTTAGTATGAAAGTAATAAAAAAAAGATAATCAGCATTCTACTTAATGATAGATTATATTTGCTAATAAGGCGTTTGTATCGACAATAGAACTTTTAAACGAGATCTTAGATATAAATTGTTTGTCGATAACTTGTAATTGCCTTTTTTATATAAAATAAGAAGCTCGATAACGCTCATTCGGGAGATCACAGTCATGCAGGTGGTCAGGGTATATCGCTACATAAATGGGGGAATTTGATGACAAAAAGTTTAAAGCACGTTAATCATTAATATTTTTATGTTATAGTAACCTACTTAGTACTACATGTATTTTCTAATCAAAATACCATATGGTTAATTTGAAACTGTTGTGTCAGACACTGTAGTGTCTTTTATTTCAAGTTTAGTGGGTCATATTGAATCAACAGGAATTAAAATGAATATTGGTAAATGATAAAACTTCGTCGATATACCTGTTAGTTGAATTAAAGGCAACAGCAATCTTCTTCCTTTCATGTTGAAATTAACGTCTTTTAATAAACAAACAAAAGCATATTCACCTGAAAATGGAGTTGCAGTCTCGATCACAGTTGGTCTGTTTTCCAAGAGGTACATTCAAACCACTTTTTAAACGAAACAAGCTTTTGACAAATAATTTAATATTGTATCAACAGCTTTGTCTAAAATCAACATTTTGCAAATCTATAGTTGTATAGTGTATCGTTCAATGGAATATTGGTTTTCATGCAAATTGTTAGGTAGCGTTTGACAAGGACAGTTGATAGAGGACAAGGCCGTCAACAGGAAATGTTGACTCTTCCATTGCGCATGATCCCACCTCTCAGTTTTAAAGATCCGTGTTTGCTCTGCTTCTGTGAACTTAAAAGCTTAATTACTCTACGTTATACTAATATTTTTTGCAAAGTTATGTATGTAATATTTTAATGCATTTTGTACCGCACCGATTTTTTACGGATTGACTCGTAGCAGGATCAAGTGCACATACCCTAAGGGACAAGTACTCTTAGCTTAATATGCAAGACTGTGTTTCTCATTTGATTGATGTTGGCTTTCAATTTTTCCCGTTCTTTTTAAAAAATTGATATCAACTGTCACAGATAAATATAGCATATAAAATATATATGTTGTGAAATCCAACAAATTGTCCAAAAAATTGATAACAGTGACAAATAAAAGGGGGCATGCACTTTTTTATTTAACGACCTGTTCACTTACATTATAATACTTCATTGAATATTAAGCATTAAATGATATTTTTTGACAAATAAAAATGGAAAGGCGAACATTCATATCTATGGAATGTGCTCTTCGAAAATCTGCTTGCATACGTCGTTTCCGGGATCCCCCTTTTAACTTTATCTATCACGTGACTTTCATCATCACGTGATAAAAAGTTAGGCATATTTTGTTCAAAATGGCGGCGGAAAGTCACCGAAACAAATCCGTGGCTGAATTGAAGGCATTTTTGTCAGATAGAGGCATCAATACATCACTTTATCGCAAAGATGCATTAATACGTATTGCAGAAGCTGCATCTGCGTTAAATCTAGAGCCTGAGACGGAGAATTACGGGAATTATCAGACTGAGAGAGCAAATCGAAGAAGTGTGATAGTCCAAGGAACTTCTGTGACTTTACCTGATATCTGTTCCTATCAGACTGGCAGCAAGATTTGTCATTACTTCCAAATATTGAAACAGGGGACATCATGGTTTACCTGATGACAAAGTGCTCGTGGACCGAATCGCGGCTTAAGGCATACAAAAATGACAATGGCTACAAACTTTTTCAACATAGACACATTGACAATGTTGTTGTCAAATTCTTATCGTACAACCATTTCTATATAAAATGTACATGTGTTCCAGAAACTAGACAGTCAGAAAAGCCATACACAACATGGATTCTTATGGATAATGATGGCACTGTAAAATCTGGGGGTTGTACTTGTGTTGCGTAAGTTAAATGTTTATATTTGTATATTGAATAGTTGAAAAAAAATGTTGAATATCTTAAAGTTCTTGCTCATATGTGATTAACAGATTGCCATAAGTTTAAAAAATATTTTACCATAAACTTGATAAAGTAAACATTTAAGGAATGTTTTTCAGTTTTGTGTGAGTTATTGGTGTGTGAATCACACAGACTTGTCACGTAGGCATATTTCATGAAGCGCGCTAGCGCTTCATGTAAAATATGCCTACGTGCAAGTCTGTGTGATTCTCACACCAATAATTCACACTAAACTTAAAAACATTCCTTATATTTACATTTTACATGTTTGGAAGCACCGAAAATATACTCAATATTTGAATTTCTCGCTGCCCTATATTGTTATACTTTTACTAATGTCGCTGTAGCCCTATTGTGACGTCACGGTAACTAACTCACGTTTCTCCATGTATATTTCTACACGTGAGTATACACGAAAATGATTTTCAAATCAATTTCACAGTTGGCTTAGTAGAAAAACACAGCGAATGTAAATATTAATGTATGAAAAATGGAGAATACCAACAGGTTCTTTACTTTGATGTAGTGCTGGAGCTCCTTTAAACTTTATACCTCCCAGTTACATATTACCGGTAATTATTTACTACATATTTTTCAACAATTGGAGCATTCAACTTGGTATCCTTACTTTATTTCAGTGATGACGGAACATGCAAACACTGCGTGGCTTTGTTATTTTCTCTTCAGTCCTTTTCTGAGAGACACAAGGATAGGGGAGAGGAAACCTGCACAGACAAACCATGCAAGTGGGACAAACCAAGGATAACTTCACACCCAGTCACTGTTGAGGAGATATCGTTTCGTAGGAATTCAAGTCATCCAGATAAAAAAGACAATTACAACCCGGTTTCAAATCAAAGGCATATATCACACAGGGAGATCACAAAGATATTGTACAAAACATGTAAACATTATGGTTCTGTGTTTATGCACACTGTAGATCCACCTTCGGATGACAGTAGTGATGAAGAAGATTCATTAGAAATCAAGGAACTCAGTGATATAATAAGTGATTACAAACAACAAAATCCAATCGGAAATGAAAATGAGTTGATTGATTATCTCAGAAAAATTCATTCAAAAGATGTAATTAATCAAATAGAAAATTTGACTAAGGATCAAACAGATAATGCTATGTGGTACAAATACAGGAAAGGTCGAATTACAGCTTCGGTGATGGGTTCTGTTTACAAATGCAGAATTGAAAATCTTGCAACAGAAAACTATATTGTGAAAAAAATTTTTGGCAGATCTTCTTTTTCTTCTGCAGCTACAGAATATGGGAAAGCAATGGAAAGTGTAGCTCTTCAACAATACTTCTTTCAATACTCTAAAGATCATTCAAAAGCCCAAATTATGAAATCTGGTTTAGTAATTAGTGAAAATTATCCTTTTATAGGTGCATCCCCAGACAGTTTAATTTCTTGCCAGTGTTGTGGTAATGGCATTGTGGAAATTAAGTGCTCATACACCCATCAGCATAACTTTATCAAGGACATTGCTGCAAGTAATGACTATCACATACTTTTACACGAGGATGATATTGTATTGAATAGATCATCCTCATGGTACACTCAAATTCAGACTCAACTTTTCTGCACTGGGCTTCAGTGGTGTGATTTTGTATTATATACCCGAAAAGACATGGCAACTGAAAGAATTGTATTTGATCCAGAATACTTTGATTGTTGTTTAAAAAAGCTTGTATCTTTTTCCACAAATTCTTGACATAAGTTGTATAAATAAAATACTGAGTGATTGATTGCTTTATTATATCAGAATCAAATTATACACTTAGATCGTGATTAGAGTTAAACAGTATAAGTATCAACAGCCTTAAACATTTGATTACAGGTACACAAAAAATTGTGCAAATTTTTTTCAGTTGATATCAATAACCATATAATCATTGTCAAAGATAAATGTAACTTCTACAGAATTCAGTCAATTATCTGACCAGGTTTCACAAAGGTAACTTCTATAGATTTATGTCAAATATCTGACCATGTTTTACAGATGGTAAATGTAGTACAAGTGTATAACTCATGATTTACAATTGAACATAGACAGTGCAAGTTAGTAGCACTAAAGTAAATGCAGATATTTGTCGTTTTTTTTTTTCAAGATTGATGACAAAATTAAATATTGTTTAAAATGAGATCATGGGATTTATTTGATTCAAACTGCATACAGTGTCACTTGGTTACAAGAGGTTTCTTTAAGTTACAAAAGAATGCACCTAAAATGATCATCGGATTGACTAAAGATTTCATACTCCAGGGTAGAATCTGAGAAATTAGTTTAAATGATTTCAACCTTTGAATGGCTCTCTCAACATGGATTCTCAAATTTGCAATTTGACGGGTTTTTTTAATTTGAGTAGATGTAAGGTACTTCCCTTTGCCCCAAGTACACTTACGAGTAAATGGTGGTATATTCAGATAAGCATGTCTCTCTGTAAGTAAATCTCGAATGGTGAAACCCCGGTCAGCCATAATCTCGTCTCCCGGTGACACATAATCTAAGAAACCAGAATTCATGGTAATGTACCTGTCAGAAGTGTTCCCTCCCCATATTTGAGACACAAAGTTAAAAGCACCTGTTGGTGTAATGCTCACCAGAAATTTAAAGGTGTTGTGAGATTTATATGTACTATATGTCCTAGCATTTACAGAGGGGTCCCTGGGTCTCTGAATGAAAATCTCTGAACAGTCTATGATAGCTCTGGTCCTTGGAAATTTGTAAAAAGATTTTGGCATGAACTTCTTCACTAGTTCTCGGGATGGTCAGAAAATGAAATCTTTAAACATGAAATACATATAAAAAATCCAGGTTGAGAATATAGAAGAGATTCTGGAACAAGACACCCCAAATAAATCAGACATAACTACCACTGGCAATGCAAGGCGAAATCGCACAAGTGTAAGGATCATTTCCTGGTACCTTGATAGCTTTCTAGATGGACCGGGCTTATTCCCTCTATTTTGATAGCTTTTTTCGTTTTCGCTATGTTCACCGGTCCAGTATTTCAAATTTGGTTCATACTTTAATGTTAAGTCACTAATTTTATTAAAAGTTTCTAAATTTGGTAACCCAGTATATTGTTGGATAGATTTGTCATTTTTGGTTACTTTTTCAATGAACAGGTTTCTGAGAAGTGCATCTTTATCACTGAGTTTTGCCTTTAATTGTTCATTTTCTCTCGAAGTGTTGTTCATGTCTTCAGAAGTGAGGTCTGTCTGTGTACCTTTATCTTCAACATCATCACTGGTTGTTAGAAACCTGTCTACAAGTGGTCTGCTGTAGCTGTGATCTGTTTCAGTAGTTGTGGATGGTGCTAAGTAAATATATACATGATATATATAAATATATACATAAATAATTAATGCAAACAATTTTCTGTCAATTAACATCTGCACATTTTGTATAATTATACATGTATCGATAAAAATAAAAATTCTGAGTACCGTTTTATCCCCAGTGCAGTATCAGGGTAATGAATTGAAACTTAATGAGAATTTGTACCTGACTCTGAAAGTTTGCAAGACTCTACAACTGTTTCATACACAGCAAATGGCAGGCCCACACTTATGTCTACTGGTACGTGCTGCTGAGATGACGATGATACTTGCAGCATATGTGCTGGGTCTGTAAAAGATAGTTTTTTATTACTAGTCCAAAAGAACTTCATTGAATGTACACTGCATGGGTGATTATTATGAGGACAGCTCTATTTACAATAAATTCATTCCATATTACAGGGCTGTCCCTAAGACCTGAGAGCCAGGGGATTCTCCCCTTTAGTCAAATTAGTGGCATATGATGCCCTGGTTATTTTGGGATTGTCCCTCAATTTACTGTTAGAGGAGTAACCCCAAGTTTTCCTTCTATTTTTTAAATGCAACCCACTATTTCAAATCCTTGGGGACAACCCTGCATATGATGTTCTTACCAGGTAATGTGTATTTGGAAAAGATGGTAACCTCAGATGTTAGTTATACACATGTAATCATATCAAATTAAGATGGATATCAGGTGAATAATAAATAATTGTGCTAAGACTGGACCTATGTCTGATATGAACAGCTGATAAAGGTGATCTTAGCTCAAAAATGCATACATTAATGATAAGTAATTTGTATACTTTTAGCTGTTGTCTTTATGTAGGGTTGGCCCATATATTTACATTTGTCATACCTGAGTTTTCCTTGTCTTGGAATGCAGGTGCTGTTGCACTTTGCTCCATTGCTCGTTCTCGCTTCTCAATAGACAGGGGTTTTGTTGTAGATACTGATTTGTAATTATTCCATGGGAAAAGTTCTGGGATTGTATGATTTTCTGAGCGACAATTTCCTACGAAATGTTTCGTGCAAACTCTGTGATGAGCTAAAGGTTCATATTCTTTGGGGCGCCGTATCATGGTGATCCATTTCGCTCGAAGTTTTGGCTCTTTGCGTTTCGTTGGGAAGGGTTCAAAGGAGACATCCTCCATCCAAGGATATTTATCTAGTTTATTTTTCTTTCTTGAATCGGAATTGCACCCTGGTACAACACACCAATACTTGCCCTTTGATTCGGGAGTATTTTTTCGACCCACCATGATTTGTTTACGTTTCATAAAACCCCGCGTCAAAATGTGCCTAACTTTTTACAGAGTCACATGATCAGCGTAGACTAAAAGTAGAGTCGTAACGGATCAGAGAAATGACGTATTGGATCAGCAGCTCTAGTTTTGATAGCTTGATAGCTGTCGGCACAGCAAAGAAAACAAAGCTATATATATACAATGATACAAGTATTTGTTTTTAAATATATGATTAAACTGCTTTAACTAGTATGGGATAAGTCCATCTGACGTAAAGGTCCTTTCTATTGAGTAAATTCAAGATATATGTGATCCGAGAGGCAATGATAAAAACAATAATTCTTTGATTCTCAGATATATTTCATATTGTGCTGATCACCATATTTGATCAATTCATTGAAATATATGGAGATAACAGATTCAAGCTCAAAAGTTCATTAAAGATTACAAATTAGTAGCAGAACAAACAGGGACCTCTAAAACATTAGAGAAGTGAGCAGGTTCCATTAGTGAGTGAGTATCCCCTGACGGCCGGTCACACCCGCCTTATGCTCCTTGTCTTAATCAGGAAATAATACTCGCCGAAATATGGCTGAAATATTGCAGACTTGGCGTTAAACAATAAAAATCAATCAATCAGGAAATAACGAAAAAAACTGTCAACAATTCAGTGTATAATTAATAAGGGCCAATTAATAATGACCTTACAATGAGTATGAAAAACGTCAGTCATCATTTGACTTAGAAACAGATGATACAAACATTGATTAACTTTTTTAGCTCACCTGAGCCGAAGGCTCAAGTGAGCTTTTCTGATCACATTTTGTCCGTCGTCCGTCCGTCCGTCTGTCTGTCCGTCTGTAAACTTTTCACATTTTCGACTTCTTCTCAAGAACCACTGGGCCAATTTTGACCAAACTTGGTACAAAGCATCCTTGGGTAAAGGGAAATTTAAATTGTTAAAATGAAGGGACATATCCCCTCGCAAGGGGAGATAATCAAGAAAAGACAAAAATAGGGTGGGGTCATTAAAAAATCTTCTTCTCAAGAACCACTGGGTCAGTAAAGCTGAAACTTATGTGGAAGCATCCTGGTATAATGTAGATTCTAAATTGTTCAAATCATGACCCCCAGGGGATGGGTGGGACCACAATGGAGAATCAAAGTTTTATATAGAAATATATAGGAAAAATCTTTGAAAATCTTCTTCTCAGGAACCACTGGGCCAAAAAAGCTGAAACATATGTGCCCATGGAAGGATCATGGGGTAGTGTAGATTTCAAAATGTCTAAATTATGATCAGTGGGTAGGGTGGGGATGCATTATGTATAACAAGGGTGAAATCTGGTAAAGAACAGAATGGTAAGCTTCTCAGGTGAGCGATGTGGCCCATGGGCCTCTTGTTTTAAATAACTGCCTAATTCATGTTCATGATAGGTACAAAAATAACAAGCAATTCAGACATTCAAATTTTCATATGTAATAATGCATCATGTGTCCTTAATGATAGACTGCATTTGATGACTAGATATCGACCATAGAACGTACCAAATGATGACTGCTTACTTTCTTACTTCATCAACTACATGTACATGTCTGGCAGTAAGTTACATCGTTTTAGGAATTATTCATACGTAGAGCAGGCTCTTGCGTGTCCAATCAAATGAAAGATATAAGCCCCATAAACAGGTGATAAGGGTGTATTACTGCACAAGTAAGGGAAGTTGACGATTGTAATTTTAGTTGAAGTCAAAGCTTTTCTGTTAGATTACCATTAACTACTGTCTTTTTCTAATAAAATATACAAATACTATATGAAACAATTGTGTCCGACTCTGTGGAATGAGCACAGGCTTTCCTCTATTCAATTAAATTGACTTCTCGTTGATGGAAATAAATATATTAACTAAAATAAACAGATATACTTTTATATAGATAAAGTCGGGGAAACGCTTTTTCTGCTTTTAATGATAATTCAGGAAGAATAACACCCCTCCCCCACTGTCGGATGGTATTATTGATATAAAACGGTTGAACTTTGCGTCAGAGAAGCTAAGGACTAATTATCCGATCCTGTACTAGCAAATTTTGTTTGAAGTGATTAGTACATCAAAAGTGAAATGATATTGTAGTCCGTCCGCGTGAGGAGTGGTATTTTTTAAGAGTTTCTCGCTTAGGAAAGGGTCCTTATATCGCGAGTTCGACTCCCATTGTGGAATGTGGGGCTATTTAGGTATTCCAAGGGAGATAATTTTGTAAATAGCATGACCAAACTTACATTGTACTAAGGTGAGCGTTCGAGCTCATGGACCTTTCGGTTTTCTTTTAATATTTTTGCGGTCATTAAATAAATCTAGATCTATAATGAAAAGAAAGATAACTCGATCGATATTATATGAAGATACTAAACGTTTGGAAATATAGCGCCGTAAATTGCAACCACAATTGCATCAGAATTTTCGGGTTCTATAGTATAATGACCAAAGACTAATTTAGAAAGCCATAGCTCTGAAGCTACATTGGTTGATTTTTTTTTAAATGATCACTGCTAAAAAATATAATTATTTTAAGGACAGACGAGACGTTCCTTAATAATGTATAAAATTTTCTAAGAGTTTGTAATTGAAGTATTGCTGCATAAGTAAAAGTTAATTTGCTATGCGTTCAGACAAGATTTAAGTACCTTAAGTAAATCCTCAAATTGTCATTCAAAATAAAGAAATGGACCGCTTCAGACGTGTGAATTTTCACAGGAAAAGAGTATTTCCCTACTATTTGGGCATAGGACTAGCTCTTGGATGTTCCCGAATAAAGGAAAGTAGAAGAACAGTCCGATCTACAGAGTGGTATGACAGAACTGTACTTAATGACTTTAGGGACGAATATTGGTACGAGAATTTTCGAATGAAGAGGGAAAATTTCTTTAAAATTTGTGCAAAGTTGGAAAATTCTATGGCGCCGGCCCCAAAGACCGTACAGGAGCCTTTGGATGTAACAAAAAAGGTAGCAATTGCCATGTGTTGGTTAGCCTCATCAGCGGAATATCGGACAATTGGAAATCTTCTTGGTATCGCAAAATCTACCGTGTATGTGTGCGTTCATCAAGTTTGTGAGGCCATTATGGAACATTTGCTTGAAGAATATGTGTGTTTTCCAGAGGGAGAAAGGTTGAAGAAAGTAATCAAGGGCTATGAGGAAAAGTGGGGATTCCCAAATTGTGGTGGGACTATTTATGGCACACACATTCCTATTATAGCTCCGAAACATTCTCATGGAGACTATTTGAACAGGAAAGCGTTCTACTCATTGATTCTCCAGGGTGTTTGCGACCATAGCTATGTAGCTATGTACAGATATAAATATAGGTTAGCCAGGAAGGGATCACATTGCCCGTGTTTACGCAAATTCAGAGATTTATCTCAAAGGAGATAACGACTCCTTGTTTCCGGAATGGAGAAAGCCAGTTGGAGAAATTACTATGCCAGTAGTTCTTCTCGGCGACCCAGCGTGTCCTTTGAAGACTTTGCTTTTAAAGCCATATATCAACAGATCTACCCTCACAAACACCCAATTCAATTTCAACCACCGTTTAAGTTAGAGCCAGAATGACCATTGAAAATTCGTTTGGCCGTTTGAAAGGAAGATGGCGTTGTCTACAAAGGAGACTTGACGTTGAAGTCGAATTCGCCTGAACCGTAATTGGAGCTTGTGTTGTGTTACATAACTTTTGCGAATTTGAGAAAGAAGATTGTATTTGGGATACATATTCGGACGACACTGACGATGAAGACGACGATACGCAGGATGGTGACATAGAGGTTATTCGCTGTGCCAAAGCCATGAGAGATGACATTGCTGCAGCTTTTGCCTATTATAACCTTTGAATGATGAAATGATGATTTACAATCATGTGACACTTTAGACACTTGTATTATTTTGTTTCACTTCTGTTGACAATCAATGTGTTTCATGTCTGATAACAATGTGTAAACACAAAATGTTCTGTTTTAATAACGTTGATATGCAAACAATGATTTGATAACTTTAATCATAATATTGAAATTAAAATGAATTCGCACACGATACAAATGCGTCTGTTTATTCATTAACAGCATGGATGAATGCAAGAAAAAAAACAAGCTAATTCGGAGAATTTATGTTCCCCGCTTAGGGAAAAAAGTAAACCATGCGCAGTTCGGGGGGAGGGGGATCGAGTTGGATCCCCTGACTGAATTATTATGCCATTATTGTAGAAGTATTAAATGTATACATGTATACTGAAACAAATAAAAAATGCCAATATGGATATAAAGATTTGATTGCTTATTCTTTATTGTGTGTATAGAAGATCCTTTTTATATGGAATATTTATTGCACTGTAATGATGATTTTATGAGTCTGTGCAAGCCAGACCTCATAATTTTTTCATTTCACATGCTATCATTTATTTTAAAAAGTATTTCACAAAAAAAGACAATGGTTCATGCGGACTTCGAACCCGGCACCTCTGGCAAGTGAAGCAAGAGACATACCACTAGACCACAAAATCGCTTGACCCAGAGGAAAATTAAATGCTGAAGTCACATACGTTCGATATTGTCAAAATTTTACACAATGCATGGTGTCTAATTTAACCTTTATTAAACAGTTCTAATAGATGTAATAAGAATATAAAATCCGCCGAGAACCTGTTTTATACGTAATAAGTCTATTCATACCCCTGTGCTAAAAATAGCGACATGTAATACAATAAATACTAATAAAAACAAACGGGGCGGACACTTTGAGAGGGGTGAGAGAGGTTCTAGGGAGTTTTGGCATAAAATAACATTACAAAAGCTCAAAAGCCTCTTGAAATATCGCCCAGAAGGGATAGTGTTACACACAGACAGAATGTGTAAATTTATGACCTTGAACTTTGATTTTTTAACCTCAAAATCAATAGGGGTCTTCCTTAGGCTACATGGAGTTATGCCAAATTTCATTGCAAAAGCTCAAAGAGTTCTCGAGATATCGCGCGGAAACGAAAGTGTTATAACAGGCTGACTTTGCGAATTTATTACCTTGACCTTTGACCCCAAAATCAATAGGGTTCTTCTTTCGTCCATAGGAA